TTTTCTGAGAAATTACTGACTTGAAAAAAAACTTTTCAGAGACGCAGAAACGTGCTCTGATACCAATTGTAACACCCCGCCTTATCGTGAAATCAGAGTGCGAAAATTTCGCAAAGCAAACTGATTTGGGGTGCTACCGAAAAAAACGTGTCTTAATTTAGAAAACCGTTATATTAATTTTTAATAAAATCATACTGTCACTGAAAGCATAAAATTTTCCAAAAGTCCGTCAAAATATAAGTTCGTCAAAAGTCATAATCAGCGGAAACGTAAATCGTCATAATATATATACAATCAAAACATAAAAGTCCTGAAGCCTTCGTCATCTCACGCTCCCTGCCCGACATCCTGACCTGAAAAACATGATAAAAGTGGGAAATGAGCACTATGGCACTGTGCTCCGTGGAAACTCATACTAATGTAAACATTGAAAATAATAACAACATCATGATATCGGCATATACATAACCTCAACATGAAACCGGTAATAACATGAACATGAATCTGATATCGTCACACCAACGTGACCCTGACCGTTACCTCATCTGCCAGCACAAACTAATGTCGGACACCATGTGCACACTCTAGTGGGAAGACTAGGGCACTTAGAACCCAGAATGGACCGGCGACCATTCCGAGCGGATACATGACATGAAATACATACCTCAAACATGGTACCGTAATTATAATCAATGTAGTACTTAGTCTGAGTCCCCACCTGAACTGCTGAAACTGAACGGTAGTGCTGATGCCTGATCAAACTGAAAATAATATAAACAATTACTATTGACTATGCTCAGACTGTTAAATTAACTGATTAATTTCGTTAAGATGCTCTACTGAACCTGACGTAATATTTAGACTTAACCGGAATAACCGGAACTGAACTGACATGAACTGATCGGACAGGAATTTACTGAACTGAAATTATTCCAGAATGTTAACTGAAAATATCATTAAAATCATGAACCGGGCTGAAATCATGACTTATGGACCGAACCGTTTTAAAAATGGACTGAACCGGTCCAGCCGGTCTGAACCGGTCTGGACCAGACTGCCGGTCGGCTGAACCTGGCAGTCGGCATCGGCCCGGCCAGCAGCCTGCCGCGTGCTGCGCGCAGCGTGCACGGGCGCTGCTGGCTTGCTGTGGTTGCTGAACAGTCGTCCCAGGCATGACTGGGCGTGCTGGATACGTGCGGCGTGCCGCTGGACGCGCATCGGCACTGGACAACGCGACTGACACCATGCGGTCCACTGTCGCGCGACATCGCGCGCTAGCGTGCGTTACCGCATGCTGGTGCGCTTGGTTGGGCATTGGCGTGCACAGGCGCACTGCCAACG